AGGAGGGGAGGTGGGATTTGTGAGACCATCTTTGTGATATTTTGCTAGCTGGAGTTAAACCAGGTCAAGTGGAAGGTGTCCCTGCCCATGGCAGGGAGGTTGGAACTAGATGATCTTTAAGGTCCCTTCCCACCCAAACCGTTCCATGATTCTAAGGTGTTGTAGGGTCTCCCTGGAGTCTTCTCTTCTCCAGGCTTAACAAGCTCAACTCTCTTCAGCCTGTCCCCATAGCGGAGGTGCTCCAGCCCTCTGATCATCTTTTTGGCCTCCTCTGGACTCGCTCCAACTGGTCAATATGCTTCTGATGTTGAGGGCTCCACAGCTGGACGCAGCACTCCAGGTGGGGTCTCACAAGAGCAGAGTAGAGGGGGAGAATCCCCTCCCTTGAGCTACTGGCCAGCTGCTCTGGATACAGCCCAGGATATGTACGACTTTCTGGGCTGTCTTTTCTGCCTGTACAACAAAGTGGTCAGATTTGCATGACATACTTGGCATTTCAGGATAGCCATAATGTGCAGCACCTGAAAGTGTAATGGTTTTAAAATCCTGTTTCAATGTTTAGGACTTGGGACAAAAATTAGAGCAGACAGGTGTTATCAAAATAGCTATATGTGCTGTCTCTGACCAGTGAGGATGATGGCTTTTTAAATGAGGTGAGCATAACTTCTTCAGATACCCTACTGGCTTCCTGTGAGAGCTTCTGCCTCACTCCTTCACTCATCAAAAACCAGAAAAACTGCGATATGTACAGTCAGGCCCTTGGAGGTTGTAGCACTCCATGTGTGGAATGTAGTACAGATGATGGGAGTAGTCTAAAGACATTTGTCTCACAGAGTAGTTTTTCCAGGGAAATAGGTTGTCTTTGAAAAAGTTTACTGAACACTTTAGGTATGTACTCAAATATAGAAACAGTGTAGCCCTCTGTTTTAGCTCTGTAGTTACTGTGCATCACCCCAGTCTGGGTCCTGCCCAGAAAATCACAAACTTACCACAGCTTATGCTGGAAAAATATCCTATCCTGAGGGGTCAAAACGTCTTCCTCTTCACTTTTCCCATTTCACTGAATTTACCAGAAAGTGTGCACGTGATGGAGAACAAGGTTATTCCAGACAAAACAGGCAGAAGACCTGCTAATATAGCTCTGTAATATGGCACTAGAATCCATGTGTTTTTAAAATTCATAACTTTATTGGATGCTGAAAATCATGGGCTTGTGTGTGCAGTTTTATGGCATACAGTTTTCCTCATTCTTCATCTCTGATTAAACTGTAATGCTTTACAGATGCCAAATACCTGCTTTTCCCTCCTGTCCTGGGGTCACTAATAAGCTTGATGCTTTTCCTTTTGCTAATAATCCTTCATCACATAAAGCCAGTAGCCTCTTCTTTCATGTTATGATGGGCAATACTTCGAGTGAAACTTTGAACAGTTCTTTTTAGTGTGTTTTCAGCTTTGAAAGTTGTTACCTCTCTTAAGGAAGTGGAGGGCCTTTGTCTCTGAGAGATCTCCCCTCTCTTTGTAGCTCTTCTAGCTATGTCTGTTAATAACAGATATTGCCTTTCTCAGTAAATAATGCTATTTTAAATTCTTCCAGACTTCCTTAGTTTTCTTTCTCTGGGTAGTGTTGGACTGCCCACCCACACCCCTTCCTCAGATTTATTATTTGGTTCTTGGGTATGCCAGAGCTGCCAGGGCTAATATTTCTCCTGCTGTCTCTGAAGCTCTGCCATTTGAAGGCTGCTTAACAGCCGTCATGAGACACTTCCTTCCTGGCTGCACTGTCCCAGACAGTCCCCTGTGGTGAGGCACTTTAATGAACATTATTCTTACCGAAAACATCCTGTCAGGACAGGCCAAAATACTGTTATCAATTATTAACAAGCGCCACCATATTCATCACAATTCATAAACATATCTGCTTTTTTTTTTTTTTCCCCTCTCTTAAACTGATGTAAGCTGTATAAAAATAATACTTGGCATTGCTCTGGTAACTGCTTGTGAAGGCGATCTGAAAACACTGAACTTTGCAGCAGCATTGTGACATGACAGAGTTCATTGAGTCTGTGATGGAGTTGCAAGACCTAACGGTGCCATAATAGTTAAATGTGGCTCTTGTCCACCGTTACAACAGTATAATTCTTCTCTGTCCTAATCATTCTGCTCCATGAAGTTGTACATCCTTCTGTGGAAGTAACTGATGACATAAAATGCATGTAGATGCGGGGTTGGATGCAGAGGTTGCCTTGTTGAAAATTGCAAAGCAAAGTAGTAGAGCTGCAAATGTAACTCGGGAGTTCTGCCAGCTTCTGGCCGTAGAGATGTCAGTCCTTCCCCTTCACTTCTTAAAAACTTGGGGGGAGGAAGAAAAGGGGTGCGTGTGTGACAGAATATTCTTCTAACCTCCTTTAGATAGCCAAGTTAAAATGTGATGTTACAAAACTGTTCTTTTTAACTGTTTGCTATCTGAAATTATAGTGGATGTGAACCTAGTAGTTTGAGGTGGAAAGCATATTAATTAAACTGTTTACCACCACAGCTGAATTTCACAGAAATAATATGCCTGTGGGTTTCTTTTTGTGTGTGTGTGTGTGTGTCATCTTACTTTACATCTGCAGGAGGACCATGGTCAGCCTTTATTTGGAGTCCAGTTTAACTGGCACAGTAAAGAAGGTGATCCTCTCGTTTTTGCCACTGTAGGCAGCAACAGAGTGAGTAATCTGGTTTTAACCGTGAGCCTTTCCGTGTGGGTCTGCTTGCATTCTTTTTTTCAACCGGTGCCTTGGCCTGTGTTTAGTATGGACACAGGAGACTTCCTACAGAAAGCTTTATTGCGGAGGTATGTAGCATCTGTTACTGGGGAGAGTTGCATCCTCTGGATTGCTTTATGGATGCATGTGTTAGTTATTTGGGAATTAGCCTGTATAGTAGAGAAAAAGATCCTGCAGTAATGTGAACATGGGGTAAGGAAGAGAGGTGCATAAATGGATCTTCTCACTAAAATTACTCAGATGTTATTGTTTCCAAAAGATCACATGCTCTAAAATGTGATAAGTGTCTGCAATGATGCCAGGCAGCTCAGTAGCCAAATTAATGTCCTGTGCAGAGCGAATTTATAGGCTTTTTCTGAACAAAGATCGATGTCATTTCAGTCTTGAAAATAACTCCCGAAGTGCACTCTGTGCCAGTGTTGCGGATAAAAAAGAAGCCTTTCATTTCCAGGTTTGTTCCACCTGGCAGTTAGCGAAAGTGCTGAACTAAGTTTAAACAAGGTATCAATGGCTCATTAAAAGACCAAGTTGTGTTAGAAATAGCTGCAGTAACTCATTCCAAATAGAGTTTAATCTTACTAAGACCATTTGAGCAGTAGGTTTTAATGTTTGGGAGGGACTGCTGAGAAGTCCTGGAGTGGTGCTTTACCAAAACTATGAGCATTCTTTTATCAAACCATTTCCCCCTGTTTGAAACAAACAGATGATGGATGAAATCTAAACCATAAGGGCACACTGCCTCTCCCCATCAGGAAGTGAGTATGCAGGTGCCGGTGATTTCCTTCTGAAATACCACAAGTAAGCAGCAATCTCTTCCACTGTGTTATTTTTTTTCTCCAGGTTACTTTATATGAATGTCATTCTCAAGGCGAAATCCGTCTGTTGCAGTCCTACGTGGATGCTGATGTATCCTTTTAAGTGAAAAAGGCACTTGTTCTGCTGCTTTTTCATCAGAAACGAAGAGGTGTTGTAGGAAAAAGCACACGAAGGTTTGGTCTGTGATTTAATGCTTTGCTCGTGTGGCACCTTCCTTATGTTAGCTCCAAGTCTTACCTCTCCCCCACATCCTAGAGTCCCTCCTATTGAAAAAATATTAGAAATGCAGACTCGTGGACCATGCTTTATTAAAATATTTGAAAACCGATTCTCCATTGGTTTAATCTTCCCAACAGTAATATTTGTGTAATGTTTCACATTCCCCGCTTTACAGTGGTTGCAGTTTCCCTGTGAATTGGAACTGGGTTTAAAGCCTAAGAATTAGGTTTCAAGCTCTGAAGTGGCAGTAACTTGCGTTGATGATCATTTGCAGTACTCAGGTCAATAACTGGTGAACCCAGTCTTGATTCAGTCTTATTTTATTCCCAATCTTTGGATGGTCTGGCGAAAGGGGTTGAAAAGTGATACCAAGAGAGAGAAAGGCATTCCTTGTATGTTGTGGAATAGCAGTGAGGAAACTGGCATCTCTGGAAAAGGTGATGTTACTTGTATTTGCAAATGTATAATCAAATATCTTCTTATTGGCTCCAGCAGAGGCTCCTGGGAACTTGCATGAAATAGCAACAAGTTTACTTAAAAAAAAATTTAAAAAAATCCCATTGTTTAAAAAAAACAGCCAACGAAAAAACTCCTGTTTGGTCAGTGTTCCTTAACGTGAGCTGTTTTAGGCAGATGAAAATTTCTATACCTGTGCGTGGACATACGATAGCAATACAAGCCATCCTCTCCTGGCTGTGGCAGGGTCCAGGGGTATCATTAGGATAATTAATCCTATCACAATGCAGTGCATAAAGGTGAGTGCTCCAAACTCCGAGATACAGCTTATGTTGCAGAAAGACATGAAACATGTCTTCTAAATACATGTGAACATGAGGGGAAATGATAACTTGGTCTCTGAATTCTGTCCCAGCACTACGTGGGCCATGGAAATGCAATCAATGAACTGAAATTCCATCCAAGAGATCCAAATCTCCTTTTATCTGTAAGCAAAGGTGAGGAAAAAACCCTCTTCTGTTTTTGTATAAATCAGGATACTTTGGATTGGATTTTGGTCTTGAAAATGGCCAAAATTTCCATGCATTTTTTTTTATGAATGGCACTGAAGAAGTTTACCTTGGAAGTCCAGAGCAAATCCTGCTCTTTTATGGCTGTATATCCGGCACATACTAAATCCATGGCCTACAATAAACATAACTCCACCTGTGGTGCAAAGGGATTGTGAACAGTGCTGCTTTTAGGAGGGAGGAAACATGAGCATTGGGGTTGCTCTTTCCTTTCTAACAGTCTAGCTGAAGGTTTTTCAGTTGTTGAATCGCGTTGCCATCTAGTGGGGACATCCTCAGGCCGCAGACAGCGTGTGCCTGGGGAAAACTCCGAGTCTGTCCCTCGGGAGCAGCTCTGACTTCAGCTGGACTTTGTGTAAAAAGTACATTAGTGAAGGGAGAAGAGAGGTTTTGTTGTTGTGCCTTAGGGCCTTCTTCAGAGTATCTAACCAGTCACAACTTCCTCATCTTGACTGTTTTGCGAAGTCAGGGAATGCTTTGTCTGCCGCAAGAGCGAGCCTTCAGGAGTGCTAGAGTTGGAAAAGTTCACGTAAGGGGACTTCTGGATTTATAATATTTGGTATTACTACACAAGAAGAGACGTTGGGAACCCCTGGTTATTGCAACTGTCAAGTTTGGGCTGTAGGTTTGCAACGCTGAATTTCTTGAGTTCTGTATGTTTTTTGGCTTGTCATTTTACCAACGTTTGGCACAAGCTCTGACAATACAAGGTTTAATGTGCCATCTCTGGACCAGGTACAGTCTCTGAGAGGGCACAAGGCAGGAGGATACTGGAGTCTCGGAACTGCTGGCTGAGAGCTGAGTAGAAAAAGACAAAAATATCTGGGACTGCGTGGCCTTCCAGTTGGTGTTGCTGTAGTTCAGAGCAGCGTACCTGTGGGATCCAAAAGGGAAATGCGCTAGAGGTTCCCATTTCCAAAAGGGAAATACTGTAGAGGTTCATCATTAGAAATTGTTAAAGCTGTCTTTAAACAAGTGGATTAGTCCCATGGACTTTGGAATACATGTTGTTTCTAGGAACAGTTTTCTCATCCCTACAGTCTGTGGGTCATAAAGAAGAATATTTTAAAGTTAAAAAAAAATGGAAACACAAAACTTCTCTGAATGCTGATGTGAGAATGGCTGGAAGGAACTCTGACGTTTTTTGATATAGACAAGTATTTTTGAGATAAGACTGAATAAAAGCAAACTTGTCCACGATCAGACTCTGGTATTTGGATGGTCTAGAGATCCAAGTATATTTTTGTGGAAGCTGGCCCTCTGGGAGGGGAATGGGCCTGCTTGCGCAGTTATGGAATGACCCTAACGAGTTTAGTTGTAATGGCAATTCTAGCTAAGGGAGTTCCGTTGTTTCTTACAAGCGACGAAGAATTAAGTGCCTTTTTGATGTTTACGTGAAGCCCTGTTATTGAAAGTGGTTAACCTGAAATATATTATTCATATGTACGTATAAAAAGCAGCATGTAATTTTATTTGTTCTTTATAGATCATGCATTGAGACTGTGGAACATCCAGACAGACACGCTGGTTGCAATATTTGGAGGAGTAGAAGGGCACAGGGATGAGGTGTTAAGTGCAGTAAGTGGAAGACTGTGGGGCAGTGATTTAGATTTACAAAGGGTAGCAAGCCTACAATATGCAACTTTTTATCCTCTTGTGCACTGTTTTGATATTATACCGACTTAAAAAACCCCCCGAAGTGCATAAATACTGGTTTAAGGGGATAGACAAGTGTAAATCTACGGTGGTTTCATTGATCTGGCCACCTCTCGATACACAGGTCAGGTGTTCCCTTTCTGTGTCTTTGAGTAGCTAGTTTTTCACAGTGCAGCCTAGAAGTAACCATAATAGAGCTTAGTGGGGCTAGAATGAATAAAATGTTTTCACGATGATCCCACTCTTGAGGTCTTATCCAGCCAAAGCAGCAAGAACAAATAAAACTTGAGATGTGGTAGGGAAGGAAAGAAGTTATTTCAGGTGAGTTATGCTGCTTTTCAGTGGCTGTGAACAGACACTGGCACCCAGCACATGCCAGCTAGAATAGCTGCCTTTTAATATGCTGCTCCTAAGAACTGTTTCCATTTCTGTTGTCTGCCCTGAAAGCTGAGGGGTGCATCTCTGTGAAACCTGACACGCCATTTATTACTCTCTCGTGGTTCTGAATAGTCATCACCCATGTCGTAGCCCTGGGATTCTGCCAGAGTTGCTCCATAAAATGAAACCTAGGGAATTTTCTGAAGGGGGGAACACTAGTAGTAGATTCATTGTCTGTCAGTACTGTTGAACATGCCTCTCTTTCTTGAGAGTGAGTAAATATAATTATTAAGATACTGCACTTCATTTCAGTGAGCAGGATTAAGTAACTAGTGTTTTTCTATTTGAAATACACAGTTTTATTGCATTCTCTAAGGCAAAAATGCTGTTTTGATGGAAATGATGGAATAAAATCTGAGTTGATGTAACGCAGCTTAAGCTGTCCGTCCTCAAAATTATTTCATATATGTAGGATTATGATCTTCTGGGTGAAAAAATCATGTCCTGTGGGATGGATCACTCTCTCAAACTCTGGAGAATTAATTCCAAGAGAATGATAAATGCCATCAAGGAGTCTTACGAGTACAACCCAAATAAAACCAACAGGTGCGTAGGCTTCATCTTCCTGGCCCTCATTGCGAAGCGTGGATATTCTCATCACTGGCCCAGGCTGATTCCTATCCAGACTGGGGGCAGCAAGTGAGCGGGGGATTGTGCTGGATACTGAATCTCTCTAGCAGAGGTGTTTTACTGATGTTTGCTTCAGTAGGATTTTACTGAATTCAGATTTAAAGTCATGACACTTTTATTTTTAACTATCTTAATTATTTCTTATCTGCTTGACTAGAAAATGTCTGGAATTATCATCTCTCTCATCCCTAATTAAAACTTGTAATTCACCATGTTTCAGATTGTCAGTGGCTTTTCTTTCTCTCACCCCAAAATTTCTAGAAAGGAAACAAATCCATGTAATGAAATGTAGCAAATAGTTTTGGGTAGTTATTACTAATTATTGTATCTATTATCTGACTTTGGGGTGGGGGCAAAGCTGTTTATGTAGTAATGACCTTCGTATTCATCATTCTCTGATCTGACTCTCGGATACGAGTAAATTGTCACGTAAACAGAGCAATTAGCTACATGATAGATAAATCCTCCTTTATGAAGTTCATCAACTTTTAAATCTCAACTTCCGGTTAAACCATTGAAAGAATTGAGGAGCCTAAAACATACTGAACATGGGCAGCAATGAGAAGAGCTGTGAAAATGCTCTGGCTTTTTTTGGTAACACTAAGTGCTGCTTTTTTAGCATGGTTTTTAAATAATTTCTTTTCTAGCGGGCTTTTCCATTTATCGATGAACACGTTGCAGAAGCAGGAAAACTGAGCTTTAATTCCTTCCTGAAGCGCTCGGCGCTGGAAGCTGTATTCAGCAGCATCTGAAGGAGCAGTTCTGTGCAGCATTGTCTGCGCAGTCTTGTGCAGTGGGGGATGATATTGTTAGGAATGAGGATGAAAACGGGGACTGTTCCCCTTAAAAAAAAAAAAAAAAGGCAAGAAAACAATATACAAGATTGACTTTGTTATGAAACTGTTAAAATGACAAAAAAGGCAGGCTTGGCCTTTTAACACAGAGACATCTTAAAACTGGCTGTTAAAAATTGGACTTGTGCTTCTTCCTTTCTCTTAACCTCACTTGGTGATTTTCTCCATAGGCCTTTTATTTCCCAGAAAATTCACTTCCCTGACTTTTCTACGAGGGACATACACAGGAACTACGTTGACTGTGTACGATGGTTGGGAGATCTAATTCTTTCCAAGGTAAAGTGGCAGCTTTTTCAGCTACATTGATCCTGCCTGTTTGTTTTGAGGGTCGTAAACAGTCGAGGTTTTACTAGAATTTGGGTAGTAGGGTAACTACAGGCTACGTCAAAGGATGTAACGTGGCATACTGTGACTTGTGTCAGCTGTCAGGATGTATGGATAAGCAGCTTGTACTCAAATAAAATTATCCCTACAGCCGTACCCCTGCTAAAAGTACAGGGGTGCCAACTTTCCCCACTGGTAGAGAGTACAGAAAGATATGTAGATACTGAGGAGGGGTCTTGCTGACAAAGGGAGAAATGGGGGTTCCCACAGTGGGCTGACTCTGAGAGAATTGGGTTTGTTCAGCCTGGAGAAGAGGAGGGTCTGGGGAGACCTTACTGCAGCCTTCCAGTACCTGAACGGGCTACAAGGAAGCTGGGGGGGGACTTTTTACAAGGGCCTGTAGTGATAGGACAAGGGGTAATGGGTTTAAATTGAAAGTGGGGAGGTTTAGATTAGATATCAGGAAGAAGTTCTTCATGGAGAGGGTGGTGAAGCACTGGCACAGGTTGCCCAGAGAAGCTGTGGATGCCCCATCCCTGCAAGTGTTCAAGGCCAGGCTGGATGAGGCTTGGAGCAACCTGGTCTAGTGGATGGGGTCCCTGCCCATGGCAGGGGGGGTGGGACTGGGTGGGCTTTAAGGTCCCTTCCAACCCCAACCATTCTGTGATTCTATGAACTCTGACTCTACTGTTCTATGAACTCGCGTGTAGGGTCCTGTTGGTTGAAGGGGTTGGGTGAAGAACCCTCGACCTAGGTTAAACCGCCCAGGGAGGGGTGTTTGAGCACATCTGGTTGCCTTCCCTGCAGCGGATGAGGGAGGCTCTCAGCGCTGTTCCCTGGCAGAGCGGTGGGGGCAGCAGCCTCCTAGCGATGGCCAGTGACGTGTTGCTGGTGACGTCCCTGTGGGTGAAGGACAGAGGGGAGATTTTCAGTTTTATGGTTCCTTTTAATGTCGTCGGGCAAGCTGAGAGGAAATATTTGCTTGTAGTTAGGCTGGATGTGCAGTATAAATTACAAATGCAGGTGATATTTTTTTCCCCTACTGTTTCTCCCTAGTCTTGTGAAAATGCCATTGTGTGCTGGAAACCTGGCAAAATGGAAGACGACATAGATAAAATCAAGCCCAGTGAATCAAATGTGACCATACTTGGAAGGTTTGATTACAGCCAGTGTGATATATGGTACATGAGGTTTTCAATGGATTTCTGGCAAAAGGTATGTGTGAGCTTTGACTTTGCTCTGTTTGGAGGCGCACAACGTTTTGTGGGTTCTTTATCAGTAGATGTGGGTTGACCTGATGCCATGTGTGAGAAGCAGAACGATTTGCTGCAGGGGCTTTATATGAAACTGTAGTAGCTCTAGATTTTTCATCCAGGGTTCTGCCTGATGGAAAAAATTCCACCCAAGATATAAGTGGTTTCCACTAAAAGTATCTTTATTGATATCTTTCTCCCCCATCTGCTGAGGTGGATAATAAAGTTGGAGGCAGGAGGTAAATTTTACAGCCCTTCCAACAAACTTACTCATGTTCCAACGTTCACATGTAATTTACCAGCTATAGAGCCTTTAGGAAATTCTGACTTCTGGGTTTTTTTTGAGATAGTAGTTTAAAACTCCTACATCCTCTGCTTTCTTTTAAAGATGCTTGCTCTGGGCAATCAGGTTGGCAAACTTTATGTCTGGGATTTAGAAATAGAGGATCCTCATAAAGCCAAGTGAGTACACTACTTTGATTTTGTTTTAGTTAAGACAGGATGTTGGGGTACTTTTCCATTTTCCTTTACTGATAATTATAAAAATTCTTTAGATCACTTTCCATTGTAACTACTAAGTAAATAAATATTCTGAGCCCCTGAAGGTGAACTTCTATTTTTATTTTTACTGATTTTTAAAGTTTTTATTACCGTAGTGCCAAGAGGCCCCAGTCAGACTGTGGTTGGTGCCGTATGTAGATACAGGAAAAGACAATTTGTTCCTCGAAGTGCTTACAAATTAGGTGGCAAATTTACCAAGCAATTAGGAGAATATGTGGTAGGTGGGTGTAGCACATGACAAAGGCAAAATAGGTGAGAGGACTGGAGTCATGAGAGTTATAGCTATGAGCATAATGTGGAGAAGGCAGTAGGGCTTTCCAGTTCCTTACCCATGTGGCCAGGCAATTTGCATGGAAGCATTGCATTTTTGAGGTTGGAAAAGAGCTTTTAAGATCAAATCCAACTGTTACCCAACACTGTTCATACCACTAAACCACGTCCCTCAGTGCCACATCCACATGTCTCCTAAATTCCCCCAGGGATGGTGACTCCACCACCTCCCTGGGCAGCCCGTTCCAATGCCCGACAGCCCTTTCCATGAAGAAATTTTTCCTAATATCCAATCTAAACCTCCCTTGATGTAACTTGAGGCCATTTCCTCTTGTCATATTTTACAGCTTATCCCATTTTACAGCATGTCTTTTATATCTATATAAACACACAAATAAGAATAACGTGTATAGAATGTAGGTAGGCTACGTATATACATAACACACGCATTGTGTTTGTATATGTGCTGTAAAAAATACATACAAATCTAATTTATATATGTAATCTGCATAAGTGTGTGTGTGTGCATATATGTAAATGTAGGAAGTCCCTGAAAATGCGGCCCAATTTAATCACCCAATTTAGGGACATGGGTTAGTGGGGGACTTGGCAGTGCTGGGTTAACAGTTGGACTCTTAAAGGTCTTTTCCAACCTAACCAATTCGATGATCCTGACGACGGTATTTCATCCCTAACCACCGGGAAGGAACGCTGACTGCGAAGTCCTAGATAAGGTGATTCAGTCAGCCTGCAGTCAGGGCTTCAGCGAAACCGGGTGGGTGAGAAGTGGCAGTGGGCGAACAGGAGACAACTGCTTTCCCGAGTCCGCATTTGGAGTACAAAATACAGCAGGAAGGGCATAATCCCATTGCCCTCCGGTTCCTCCTGGCTCTATTTAGGAGGCTGGTGAAACAGTGCTCCATAGTGTCGTAGCAGGTGCAGACTTCACATTCCAGCTGAATAATTTTCTTTTATTTATAGGTGTACGACTCTTACTCATCCTAAATGTGTCGCTGCCATCCGACAAACCAGTTTTAGCAGGGATAGTAGTATCCTCATAGCCGTGTGCGACGATGCCAGTATCTGGCGCTGGGACAGACTACGATAAATTCCTTTTTCTTAATTCAAAATAGAAAATATATTTTCAAATTATAATACAGTCTGTTAACTGGCTAGTGCGGTAGATGCGTTTAGCGTAGGCTTTCTCGAAGGTTCGGCAGGCTGGAGCTGAACTTAGTGATGTTTACATTCTGTGTATGGTTCTGCTTGAAATTGCTGCTTTTAATAAAAAGAAGTATTTTTGTAAAGTTTTCTGAATTGTCCATTTTAATTATTTCCCACCTGGCCTGTGAGGTTCTTGAGGGGCGGCTGTCGCACAGGTAGGCACCGGCTGGCTAGAAACGTGGGGCGTGCGTGCTCGCCGCTGAGCTTGTGCCTTTTGGGCTGAAACCCTACCGAAGCTATGGAATGTTGTCCAGGGACCACACAAAGGAAGTACTGCACTTAGGGGTGGACTGTAAATACACATTACACCGTTTGAGCTCATTCCTTAAGTTAGTTGCACATTGAAGTTGGTTAAGTTTTAATAATCTCAAATTGGGATGTGCTTTTTCACCTTTTCTGTTACTGATTAGGGGGAAAACTTTACTGGCTCTTTTTCTGGGGGGGTGACATTGCTCTACTGTTTGGATTCTGGCTGTTTAGTTACCGTGATTGTCTTAAATCAGTGTTAGTTGCTGGCAATATATATTAATTGTCTCTATTTTCAGTATCTCCAAACAGCCTCATCAGTGTCTAACGTGCCCTAGGAATAAGGAACTCTGAAATCGACACGATTTCATACAGGTTTAAAATACGCACAGTTGCTAAAAATGAAAGGGAAATGGGTAAGACGGCGGACGGTTTACAGGGACGGTTAACTGCCGGAAGGGAAGAGCTCAGAGAGCTGTGGTCA